GCATAAAGTCTAATCTCAATAAATAATAATAATATTAAGAACTAGATACCAAAATCGAAAATTAAATAAAATTTGTGTATTTTTGGATATTACAGTAATCTACTTGAGAGGTTTCACTGTAGACGGTGGGGCAGTCTATCAAGTGGCTGTAAAGTCGTCTCGAACTCGTTAGTTACAAATTGCGATGACTGCGACGCCGACTCGAGCAATTGATAAGAGCTGGACAAATGTTTGGCTAAGTGTGCGACAATTTTAATTTGCTGTGTTTTCACCCGTTTTGGTTTTTTTCGGTTGTTTTTTGTCAGAGCCGTTCAGTTCCTGTTGCTGGCCGACAATGATTGCTGCACTTAGCCATTGTTTAAGCCGTAAATCGTCGCCTCCACTTCCGCCACGAACGGAAGTGCAACATTTAATTACGTCCAGCATGGCAAACGATTCCGTTTCATTTGCTATAGAGTGAAATCAACGGTTAGTGCCAACAATTTCGATTTCGATTCCTAACCCTTACCCTATAGCAATCCACAACACCCACTGCTGACAATCAGTTGAGCGTTAGGAATTGAGTATGAATATCGTGTATACGCCATGAGGTACTGCTTCTGAAATGAAGCCAACTGAAAGGACAGCGCGAACAGATTGATGCAAATGCCCGTTGCAGATGGCGATGTCCAGGCGAAGTCATCCAGAAACGGGGTTAATTTCGGTCCGCGAGTTTATTGCATTCAAAATGGAGCGCAACTATAATCACCAAAGCGGAAATTCCAAGTGGGGGGCCAACTAGCTCACATATCATCATGAGCAGCCAGGGGAATGGCATCCGGATGCGGATACGGATTCGGTTTCGGTTTCGGACTCCGGTTCGGGGGGATCAATCGTGCGTGGAGTTTTAGAACGTCCAAGGCGCAAAAGTTGCCATCGGTCGACGGCGACAGCTGCTTGCTCAATGGCCGCATCGTAATCTAATAGCCATGTGCCGAGTTTCGGTCCCTATCCGATGGCATTCTGGCATTCTGGCCTGGTCCTGGCCTGGTTCTGACCGTTCGGACGGTTCTGCAGCTAATGCATCTGTTAGTGCCGCTGTTTTCACCACAGCCATTTCGCTCCACGCCGCATGAGCCGCGAGCATTATTTTTGACCGCACGAGGAGTGTCCCGGAGTGGGTTTTCGCCCCATGGCGACATAAGAATTGACCGGGAAGGAACGACGCCTTTAAAAATATCCCCCTAACTGGACTCTCCACAAAAGTTGAGCTTTAAGAGTGGGGAAAATTCTGCACTTAAAATAAAATTGGCAACAGGAATTTATTTATACTTCTTAAATATTTGAAATATATATTCAAAGAGACACAGAAATAACTGCTGAACTACTTTATTTAAGATTTCAATTACGCTTTTATGAAAAACCCAATAATAGTTGCCATGTTACGCCGGCGTGCCGTGAAGCGATGGAATTTTAGAGTTTTATAAAATCATTTTTCATATTTTATTCAAGTAAAGCAATTTTAAGGCTTGTTTAAACGTGTATTTCGGCCATAAAAGGTTTACACAGCGCAGTTTGACCAATGCATTTTTTCATAGCATTTTCTACATTTTTCAAATTAATAAAGCCAGGACTTTATATTTTCCATCCATTAATAAGTGAGCCTTTTACCATCTAGCTCAAAATGGAAGGACACACTGCGGCAGTAGTTATATTTTGCAGGGTTCATCCGTATTGGGTAAATTAATTGATTCAGATGCGGATATAGGTAAGTTCGTAGGTTAGCACAAAAAAGGAGTGCAGTTGGGTGGCTTGGGTGGATTTATGGGTCTTCCCTTGGCGACGAATTGCAGCAGAGTTTGTCAACGTTGCGTATACGCCGCATGGGCTTTGAGGGATAAATTTGTCAACATTTTCATGCCGGTGCGACATTTGTCGTCTGCTACCTAGCTGCCCACCTGACTTTTGTTTATGGTTGCCCCGGTGGCAATTTATGGCTGCCCATCTGGACCTTGTCTAATGACATAATTGGAGGCCGTCCGGAGCGGAGCTTAAAGTGCAACAAAGAAACCTTGGGGCTGCAATTAATTTACGATTCCTTGTGCGGGCGCCCATTTTGCAGCCAATTGGGCGTGCGGAGTGGCAGTTGCCAGTTGCCAGTTGCAAGTTACCAGTTGCCAGTTGCCAGCTGCCACAAGCTGGGGCATATGTTGCCGCAAATTATAGCCACATTTGCTGGCAGCCGCATTCAAGTCGAAAGCCGTTAAAGCGGCAGCCCTGCGAAATTTGCCTGAGATGCCTGCCTCATTTGCTTCAAATTGAATTTAAAGGCAGTGCGCTGGCCAGGATCGTTGCATCCCCTAACTGGGGAGTGTGTGTGTCTGTGGCTCATTGCCAAGATTCGTGCCCCATCCCGTTCTAACGCCTTCTGTCCGCCCCAGGATCAACATTTCGCTTTTGTCCGCTTGCCAGAGAAAGCAGAGTTGAACGCTTTTACCGCAGCTGTTGCAGCTGCAGCATCCTTTGTGCTGCAGCGGCTTAATCCGCTGGCTGGCCTTTTGCATTTCCCATTTTCCAGGCATTTTCCACGTCGCATATCGGGGCGTCGGCAGCCATGTGTTTTAGGAAGCTTAATATGCGGCAGCTAGATTAATTATGCCCTGCCAAGAGGATATAAACGTTTCCAGGATACTGTATAATATGGAAAACTCTCTGGAACTTTTTTTAAAAATATTTGTTAGCCTTGATTTAGTTGTGTAATACTTTTTGGTTAAATATTTTTGGGGTTTTTAACTTTAAGATATTTTTTTATTGTTAAAAAATAAATAATAAAGTGTGAATAAAAGCTTTCCCTGTTCAGCTGTGTTAGGTTTCCCAAAATTGGCAGCTTTGATTTCCCCAACTTCTTCGAAAGCCAATTGTCATTTCCGTTGCCAATGGCAAAACAGCGAGGATATTTCCCAAGGAATGCCCAAATGAATTTAGAGCAATTTTCAATTATTGCACAATCGAAGCGTAAATAAGTTGTAAATCATCAATTACCCGACAAAAAGCCAGCCAGCAACCCACTTTCCGCCCACGCACGAGCATTGCTCAGTTACAACAACTGCAATTGCCAAGAAATCGCCAAAAGCGGATACGTGTCCTATCGCATCCCGAAAAGCAGCAGAGAGGAACACACAGATATTGGGGGAGCTGAGGATTCGGGCTGAAGGAGGAACTTAGAACTCCGGCCAGACAATGGGCCATCGTAAAAATAGCAACTAACAATCCAAAAAGCACTCGGCCACACTGAGACCACGACGAAGTCGAGAACAGGAGATAAGCAGCTCCAGCTGAGAAGAAAGTAGATAGAAAGCACTCAGGATAAGGAAAAACTAACCAAAGGAACTAATTTATTAAAATAATAAAAGTATTCCATTTTAATTATTAGTATACAAATTAAAAAATTCACAATTTAATGGTTTGGGCTAAAACTTAAATCTTTTATAATCTATTATTAATAATTTATACCACAAAACTCTTTTCCCCGCACTAAGGATTAACAAAAAAATACTTTTTACCAGAATTCAAAACTAATAATATTATATTTTTAAGTCCCCTGAATAATTTGCAGTGTCGTTAAAGCAAGTGCTGCTAGTCGGGCAGTGAAAACCTTAAGTAGATAGATATAGAAATGTCTCTCCGTCCCTGCCGGCATGTGATTTATGTGGTAAATAAAAGAAGGACAAGAACAAGAACTAGAACAAGCTCGGGAATCAAAGCCCGGCGATGCTTATGGGGATGGGTATACGTATATACGGATATGGGGATAAGATAGGGGCCTCGACTCCAGCTGCAACATGCGACTGCAATTGCAACAAGCAGCAGGCGGCATAGGCGAAGACAAAGACAAAAGAACCTCACACACAGAGAAAGAGAAAGAGAGAGAGAGGGGACATCCACTAAGAAAGAGACGGGCTGACTGCAGTACGTCGGCGAGACGGAGTAAAAGTTTTTAATATTATTTCAAGTCTGAAATGAGGGCAATCAGCAAGTGCAATTGTCGTCGAGCGGCTGGCATAACAAAGGAATCGCTTTTTTGGTAGTAAATGTGGAGGGCTGGCAAGGAGGATGAACAGAACAAAGGCGTCACTGAGATGGATCCCAGGAAGCCTTTGCCAATAAGCGATGGGAGTGCCCCCTGTCAACGCCAAATGATGCATTTCATACCATACCCATACCCACCCCCCCCTTTCAAGATAAAGGTGGCTATATGTCGGGGAAAACAAACAAAGGCCCCGAAAGGCAAAGAGATAAGGACAAAGACCGCGGAGGAGTGGAACTGCAGATAGGATGGCTTACAAGTAGGTAAACGATGTAGTTTCAATTAAGGATGTGCCGGGAAAATGGCGGCTGCAGGGCGCAATGAAGCGCAAAAAAGCGGGATAAGGAGTCGCTTCGCTGATGAAGTCGGTTTCCTTTGAGGAAAAGCGGGTGCTGGTTACTCAGTTAGTCCAGACTTAGCCTGGCAAAAGGATAATGCGCGCAACCATAGGGATGCACATATCCTGGCCGAATGAAGGCGGAACGAGCGGCAGCGGAACCATCGATAAGGCGAATGCGTCAAACTGAACTTGTACCACTAACCCAGTTAGTCGGGGAACGAGTGGCAGTGGCACACCCTCGGAGAGGGGGACGTGTGGAGCTGGGCCACATGTTTCGTCCTGCCACAATGCGCATCCTGTTGCGAAATCACACGAACCCGGCGAACCGAAGGATTACGAACGTAACGCATTCGAAACGAACGAACTTTGGAACGCTGTCGCAGAGGTTCGATGGAGCTGTTTGAGTGAAATTCCCAGCGACACAACCTGAAAAAGCTGCGCAACATGGAAATGTTGAGACTCAAAAGTAATGGGTGTTTTAGTTTCAAAAGATAATGGCCCTGCTATCGCTTATAGGTTGTTACTGAACCTTATCACTTGGCAGCGGCACGTTTTTGACGGGGTAGAGAGGGGTCCAGCTCGTGCCTGATTCCCCAGATCACACAGTAGGTTCACAAACTCAGCGGCGAAATGACGTCTCCGTTTGACGGTGCTGCCTGTTTCTGGCTCTCGATAATCTGGCTCCAGCTGGGTCTCATCAATGCGGGTCTGGAGTTCCTTAGGGTCTTCGTACCCCTGCCCCTGGTACGACTGAGGGAGATCGAGGAGGAGGAGCGGGAAATCGAGGGCGAGTGCACGTTGGGCGCCATCAGCATTCGAATGTTCGCCTTCTGAAGACTGGATTGCCATCATCTTTAGGATCTATGTACTTAACAGAATCAATAGTCAATGTTTCAACGATAAGGAATATCCTTAGATAATAAGTTCATTTAATTGTAAGAATAATAGTATTCTAAAGTATACATCATTTTAAGTTTTATAAAAACAAATATTGTAAAGCAATTATAAAAAAAATGTTTGTGTTTTTTACTTAAGATACGGTACAACCTTTACAAAAGTTTAGCACCGTTCCTTTCATTTATAGAAACATTTTAATCTAAAGACACACGCCCATACAAAGTATGAATGAACGAAACTTGTTTGTCCCGAGCAGGTTTAAGGTACGTAAACAAAAACTTATACTATATAAAAGTTTGATGAACTTAACAAAGAAAGATAAATGTATTTGAACAAGGCAGTTTACACATTCTAACAAATAAAATAATTGTTCTTTATTTTTTTGTAATTATTGCGACCTAAAAAGTTCAGGGCTTCCAAGATAAGGATTTCAATTCTACTTTGTAAAAAATTAATGATGCCTCGAAGTAAGTTATTCTGTTAAATCTAAAACATTGAGGAAAACCTAGTTTATATAAACTTGTGTTGGAAACCTAAATGGGTAATGCATTCCAGGCTTGAGAAGTTGCATTTATTTATTATGCATCTGTGGGATGTCCAGCATTGTAGAATTTCCTATTCAATCTTCGCACAACAAGACTGCAAATTTTAATTAAAAATTCATTTCTGCTACAAACGCACAAAAAAGTGTCATTTATTTGGGGCAGCACTCGGACAGTTGGGGTGCTTATCTTGCGTTGACATACCTTGTCAGTTCATAGAAATATGTATAAAACGAAATTTATGGCAAGTCGAAAGTCTTGGCCAAAAAGGGAAAAGTTCCTCTCTGTCGGTTTGCCTTCTCCATTTCGCCTATTTTTGACAGTTGAAAGTTCATTTTCTGTTCGATTTGCGCACCGTGGAGCTCCAAGTCTTCAATAATATTTCATTACGCTGCCCTGGGGGGCGGGAGCTTATTCATTTGCATAATTCCCTTGTTTACAATTTGTGTGCCACAGAAAAGAGCGATTGACTTAAATGAAGTTACAACTTGGCAGCAGTACCAGCAACAGCGGCATCTAAGTGAAAGCAGCAGTTGCAAAATAAGAAAATTTATAATATTCAATTTATATGCACTTTTTGCAGCTCCATCGCCTCGAGGAGCAGGAACAACAAGTAGGAGCTGCGGAAACAACAGAAACAACTGCAACTGCTAAGCTGATAATCCCAGATTTCAAGGCGCCAACAGCTGCACCCACTCAGGCATGTGCCACGCCCCCCCGTTCGCCTCTTTTCCGGCGCTGTGATTAATGAGATTTGTCACTGGCTTCATTTGTATTTTCCATGCTGTTGACTGGGCTAGAAATTCCCTGCCCCGCCCTCGTCCAAAGTCTCGGAGCCCACTGACATGCATATAAATTTCATAAATTCCAAGGAGCCTGCAATTGCAGGGCGAACGGCCCAAACGATGAAGCGTGTCCAACAGCAGCTGGCCGTCGAATTTGCATTTTCATTATTTTCAACTCAATTTAAAAATGAAAATCACCAAAGACAAACAGCGACGGGTCAGGGCTCCCAAGCGGAAGGAAGTCGCTTAGCTGGCGTGCCTTATTATGATTCGCATAAAAATAAAAGCCAGGACCTTCAGTTCCTCTCATCCCTTACCGATAACTAAGTGGCACATTAAATTTACCCGAGCCTATAATTCATTTGTTAAGCCCGCCTCGGTTTCGGTTCCTCTGCCGGATTGTGTTCCGCTTCCATTGCTGGCCAAGATGATCATTAGGCCAGTGCTTATTATACCCCGTTTTTGGGGTAATCTAGAATTATCCTAAAAAGGAATGAAAAGCACAAAGTACATCTGCAATTTACACTAAACAGTTTGTTTTATTTTAAAACCCAAACTATTCTTTTCAAATTCTTTTTATCCTTTTTCTAAAGAATTCGCGGTCCTATTTTGTTAATGAATCAGTCTATTGCTTTATGTTATGAAAGCTTTTAAAAATATTAGCGTGGTAAACATTTTTTCTCTTGTTCTAAAGAATTCGCGGTGCCAAGCATAAAGCTTTTATGATATTGATGCACAGTATACGAGTACAACACCCATTTCCCAGGTCAGGTTAAAATAATGCCAGGGTACTCACACTTTCGACGCTCTTGTACAATATACCCCCATTTTATTCATTTGCCTCTGTGCTTTATTATTATTTTTATTTTTAGTGAATTTGTAGCTGCATTTCGGGTATCTCAACTTGGTCTCAGTTCAGCTCAACTTCGCTCAGCCCAGTTCGCCTCGGAACGGCTGAGTTATGGTGGGCAATAAATTTATATGACATATAAATGTAAATAATTGAGCAGCGCGTAGCCGCCGTCTAGAGTTGTCACAGCGGTGAGGCAGTGGCTCAGGGGTTGAGAGGGTTTTTTCGAGGGGGTTTAAGGGTGCCGCCGGCTTGTTGACTCTGTGATTGATGTTGGCCCACTCTGCGGCTCCTCACTTAAAAGTCCTTAATGGCCATTCTGCGTCGTGCATTTAATTTAAAGTTTTGCTGCATCGTTGTGTTGTACATTTTATTGTCTATGGTTTTTTATTGTACATTGTACAAAAGGGAGGATAACAATCTAGACAGTCAGAGAGAAATTTGGGAAGGGTGAGGTCATGTCGATCTTAAGTTTCTTGATAACATAGTTGATCTGGTCTTGACTATTAAGACCATAGGCCTCGAAGGGGTTCACATTGAAACGGCTGATGCGGTTGCCCGAGATGCCCAGGAGGAATTTATAGTAGCTGGGCCTCAGGGAACGGGCTTCCAGGATAGCCGAGTGGAAGAGCACGGCCGTGAAGAACGAGAACATGAGCATCGCGAAATGGGGCACCTCGATCAACTTTTCCTCGGCGATTCCCCAGTTGTAAAAGAGGTGCAAGGACTTCCACATCAGATAACAGGCCACCGTGGTGTTGGGAAAACGCAGAAAACCAATGGATCCAATCAAGCCAGCCGGAATGGCGAAGAGGGCATTGTCATATCCGAAGGTGTGCCGCAGACCGCAGGAAGTCGACTGAAAGGTTAGTAGAATATGATAAGATAAAGCTTTTTAGTTGAATATGCAAAGATATCAAAAGATTATTGGCTAAATTACGATATGTGTTTAGTTTTGGAAGTGAAATCCATTTGTCTCATGGTTAACCTACCTTAAAAAGGAACGAGAAGATTCCCAGCGCCAGTCCCAATTTCAGGGATCCCTTGTTGAAAATCTGTTTGCGCCATTCCATCTTGAGCTGGAAGATCTTGGGGATGTTAAGCAGGAACTTTAAACCCACCGATAGGCCAACGCCCCCGAGAAAGGGTTTCAATCCACCAAGAAGGGCGTATGGAGCACAGCCCTGTTTATGTGGACAACTGGGATGTTTGGCCTTCAGAAGGCGGTCGTAGAGCTGCAGATACGCTGTAATGCTGCGGAAGTTGAGCGGTGCTTGTCTGGAGCTCTGCGAAGTGGTCACCACCGGGGTCTTCAAAGGACCTTCCTCCTCCTTGCCCACAATCAAACCCAATGCCTTGAAGGTAGCATCCTTGGCCACCGTCTTGTGGAGTCCAGCGCGATATAGATACATCAAGGCGGTGACACTGGCGCCCATGATGAGCACCTGTCCATTGGGAATGGATCGCACCAGGCCTCGGGCCTCCATCATCTTCCACAGCGTCTCAATGCCCACGTTGGCCACATACAAGGCCAGTGGAGCACGTCGCTCCGGCCGCTCAAGGGCAAGGCAAGCGAAGCTGGCCAGAAAACAAGGCAACCAGGCCACCGTGAGGAAGTAGAATCCTCCGAAAAGCTGACGCAGGTAGCACACGGCGACCACGAAGAGGGTTCCATTCATCGAAAGGAATGCTGTCGACTGAAGGATTCCGGATGCAGTGCGTTTGAGGTCCTTAAGCGAAGGAATGCGTCCTCGCATAACCAAAGCCAACTGGAGAAGGATAATTTATTAGTTTTGGCTTTGGATTTTTGTTAATTACATATTTAGTTAGATTAAAAGAAAAGGTATAGTAAAAACTATATTATTCCAGAATTCATAAACATTTAAAAAAAAAAATTGGTGTTGGTAATTTACAATCTTTAAAAATAAATTGTTATTCGGAATTTGACCTTTGTACTTTAAAACTTCGTATCACCCCCCTTAGCGATATACATATATAGCACTTGAAGCAGGTGTGAAATTCTTGATATTTTTAGCCTTAAGAACCCCCCTTTGCTTACCAAATAAACAGTAGCGTAGGTGCGCAGACTGAAGGGGATCTCGGAGAGCAGCATGCCCGCCGCAGCGCAGGCACAGCTCTTGGTCCATGGATGATGGTACTCGTAGCAGGTGCAGTTGAAGGCTATCTCCGCCAGCTTACTTTGGGCCGTCATGATCCACTTTGAATATTGACCTATGCTCCGAGGTCTACGATTGTCGAATTGGCTTTGAGCAGATGATAAAGCTTATCGGGAAGGGGCTTATCGACGATAGTACGAACGTGCCACGAAATGCTCTCACTGCTCTATTTAACTTGGTACTCCCAGTTCTGCTTTTCTAATCCAATGTAATTTCAGTCAGGGAAGTTATGATATGAGCTTACTTAAATAATGTTCCAAGTTCCTCGGTTCCCAGTAAAGTTCGCTGGGCATTTCTCGAATCAGCTGCTGCTGGTAATCCACTTAGTTTTAGCTGAAGATAGGGAATTATATTAGGTACTTTTATAAAATGCTGATAGGGAAGGGTAAAAGTAACCGGAAAGCAATACTTACAGCAAGTATAGTTAATATTTCGAAGGTTAGTTAATCAAATTAAGTTATTTTCTCCGCCGGGGGAATCACGTTCTAGCCTGGTCGGCCATCAAATACAACTGACTGCCGACAATTCGATACGATTTGGCCAAGAGTGGTCCGCGTGTAGACGCACAATAGGAGCTCCATTCCGATTTGGCCGTAATCAGCAACACGGCCCACTCCCCCGAATTCCCGCAGGTGGTTCGACTGAAGTGCGTTGGATGCAGAGGCACTTACTTATCGCAAACACGCGAGCCAAAAGTTGGCTAAGTTGCTCAATGGCGATCGGTTTGTTGACGCTGCGTCACCTCCTGGGGAATGCTTATCAATTTCTAAGAGCCCCCGGGAAGTTCTTAGAATTCTCTTAGTTATGGAGTTCTCTTATGGAGCCATTATCAGTTGTTGTAGAAGAGAATAATATCTATCAACGATTCCGATAAGAAATGGGTGTTTATATAATGAAGCTATAGTTAGTAAACAGTTCATTCAAACTAAAATAAATTCTTTGTCTTATGTACTTTAACCTATCAAATCCTTTTAGCTTTATTACATTTAGCCAACATTAAGTATTTCCAAGTTTTACAACTTCTATAAACTTATATCATTCATTAGAAACGTCTTCAAATTTGTTACCCTCCCAAAACCCATTCGATTCACTTAAGCACATAAAAAATTATTAACTCGTTTAGAATACAAAAAAAATATTTCGTTTTTATTTATTAACTAGAGATATACCTCGACTATCCTATTAGCGTCTTGCTAAGTTACTAAGTGAGTTCCATTTCACAATATTTCATTTAAAAATGTAGAGAAAAGGACTTGAAATGGAACGACTTCTAAACAGTCAGGGGAAAAAGAGGGTACGCCGAGGTGGCAACAATGCCCAGCTTCTTGATCACGTGGTTGGCCTGATCCTGACTGTGTACTCCAAAAGCCTCGAAGGATTTCATATTGAACCGGCTGAGACGACCTCCTGAAATAGTCTCGATAAACTTGTAGTAGCTTGGCCGCATGGATTGTGCTTCCAGTACGGTTGAGTGACACAGCACGGACGTGAAAAATCCATACATGATCAAGGAGAAGTTTGGCACCTCGGGAACCTTTCCCTGAGAAACACCCCAGTTGTACAAGAGTTGTAGGGATTTGAACATCAGGTACAAGGAAACTGTGGTGTTGGGAAAGTGCAGCAGTCCAATTGATCCCATTAAGCCAGCCGGAATTGCAAATATAGCTTTATCATATCCAAAAGAGTGTCGCAGGGCACAAGAAGTAGACTAAAAGGTGAGTTTTTTAAATAAATAGGAACTAATTGGGTTAATTTAAAGTTTACTTACCTTGAAGAGCAGTGAAAAGATTCCCAGCGCTAGGCCCAACTGCAAAGATCCCTTGTTGAAGATCTGCTGACGCCACTGCATCTTGAACTTGAATATCTTGGGTATATTTAGCAGCAGCTTTAAACCCACTTGAAGACCCACACCGCCTAGGAAGGGTTTCAGGCCACCAAGGAGGGCGTAGAGAGCACAACCATGTTTATGTGGACAACTGGGATGTTTGAGGGCCATGATTCGGTCATATATCAGCAGGTTAGACGAGATGCAGCGGATATTCAGCCTTGGCGGGCGGGGTCTCCGAGAGGTGTTCAATATGGAAGTCTGCAGGGGACCCTCCTCCTCCTTGCCCACAATGAGACCCAATCCCTTGAAGGTCGCGTCCTTGGCCACCGTCTTGTGGAGTCCAGCACGATATAGATACATCAAAGCGGTCAGACTGGCGCCCATGATGAGCACCTGTCCATTGGGAATAGATCGAACCAGGCCTCGGGCCTCCAGCATTTTCCACAGAGTCTCCACTCCCACGTTGGCCACATACATGGCCAGTGGAGCACGTCGCTCCGGACGCTCCACGACCAGCGATAAGGAGCTGACCAAAAGTGCCGGCACCCAGGTTGCCGTAGCAAAGTAGAATCCTCCCAGAAACTGGCGCACCAGGCAAATGGCCAGAACAAACAGGCTGCCGTTTAGGGATAGGAAAGCCGTCGACTGTAGAGTGCTTAATAAAGTGTTTTTAAGATCCTTGAGTGATGGAATGCGCATACGCATAGCTAGTGAGAACTGAAAATGGTTAGAAAGATTAGTTACGTCAAAGAAAATAAAAGACCCTTATCTACTCACCAGATAGACCATACTATATGTTCTAAAGGTGCCTGGGATTAAGGATAGTAACATCCCAGCCATCGCACAGGCACAGCTCGAGGTCCAAGGATGAACAAACTCCTGGCAGGTGCATTTAAACGCTACCTCTGCAAGCTTACTCTGTGCTGCCATGATCCAATTTGAATATTGGAATGCGACTAAGGCTCTACGAACTACACTTATCGAGTGCAGACGGGTGATAAAGGTGGCCGAAAAAGGTGGCCGCTAATAAGAACCAACAATAGCCACTTAATCTTAACACTCTACGTTAACTTGGCTCGGGAGTTCTAGATTATTTGCCTGCATATTATGGCAAAATGTCCACTATCAGATTATGTCGGTTTATTCGCCGGATCATTGGTAGTCCACCAAGTTCGAATTTGGCCATAACCTTTGGGTCCGATCATCTAAGCACAACTGAATTCTCTTCCAAAAAAGTACCCAGTGATTCGGGTGTACGCACCTCCATTTCAGGTGCTTGCTAATCAACATTTGGTCTTATTTTTATTTGTAATCGGACCAATTGTTTCTGCACAAGGTATTCCACGGAACTGCTTATCGCTCGCAAGCCAGACATAATTTGTTCTTTGATCGGCTCTTTATGGTTTGTTTTGGTTACGCTGAGTAATACATTGATTTCTTATCAATATTTTGGAGCGCTCTCGGGCAAGTAAAAAGCTCACTTAATTGATTCTCTTAACTGGCTACTCCGAAAATATCAACCTTTCAAACTTTAAAGGTAGTTCCGATTTCCAAATTCAATTTATTTTTAACACACTATTTAAACTCTATTTTTTAAAAACTTTTGGTTGTATGTTTTTGATGATTTATTGATACCAAGAATTAAAAAAGGTCAACATAATTTACAATTCACCCATACTAGCTTAAATTAGTAATCATTGGGCGCTCTTTGAGCGCGGGAGACTCTTGACGTATATACAGATCGCTTTGAATTGCGGATATATGGAGATACAATGGGCCTCTATCGAAGTCTGGTTGATTATCTAGTAGAATTTTATACTACCGGCTCAAGAGACGAGTGAGTAGGCGGGCAGCGAGGACTTCTCTACGATGTTTAATGCTTTAATGGTGTCCAACGCCTGTTGCTGACTGCTCAGGCCGAATACATCAAAGGCGCTCAGATTAAACTTGCTTAGTCTGCCAAAGATAAGGGATTCTTAATCAACTGCCCACGCAGCGCTTGCGAACTTTACTAACCGATCGCCCGAGATGGCCTGCAGAAACTTATAGTAACTGGGGCGCAGGCTCTTGGGCTCCAGGATTCCAGCATGGAAAAGCACAGCCGTGAAGAAGGAGTACAGGAACAGCATGAAGTTGGGGATGTGCGGCAGAATTCCTCGCTCCTGTCCCTTGGTGCAAAGGATCTGTAGATAAAGTAGGTTACATAACTGAATATAAAAACATATATCATATAACTAGCTCACCTGCAAAGCCTTCCACATGACATACAAGGCCACAGTGTTATCCGGATATTGAGTAAAGGACACAGAGGCAATTAATGAGGCGGGAATAGCAAATCTAGCATCATCTCGGTTGAAACTGTGCCGAAGCAGGCAGGACACCGACTGTTAAGGACAAAATAATTATTGTATATCCATATCCAACGTCAAAATACCTACCTTATAGAGGAAGGAAAAGCTGCCCATGAATATGCCCAGTTGCAGAGTGCCGCGATTGAAGACCAGCTTCTTCCACGGCATCTTTCCAGCAGTGATCCGCTTGAGGTTCATAACCACTTTGAGGGCCACCTGAAGACCCACTCCGCCCACGAAGGGTTTAATTCCCCCGATCAGAGAGTAGCCGATGCAGCTTTGCTGGTGCCGGCAGCTATCATGCTTGGCGTGGATGAGGTTGCTGTAGACGCGTACAAAGTCGGAGACATTGGAGAAGCTGACGGCGGGACGACGGCGAGACGGGGCTGGCTGCTCGCCGGGCACTGCAGGACCGGACTTGGCCACCGGGCCCGCCTCCTCCTTGCCCACGAAGATGCGCAGGATGTTGAAGATGGAATCCTTCGTAGTGCCAATACGATATAGATAAAGTAGGGCCGCCATGCTCAGACCAAAGATGAGTGTCTGTCCATTTGGTACGGAGCTCACCCAGCCTCTTGACTCCGCCATCTTCCACAGCGTTTCCGTGGCCACGTTGGCCACATAAAGAGTAAGCAGTGGTCGTCGGGCAGGTCGCTCTACCAGAATGGCCGAGAACGAGGCGAAAAAGCAGGGCACAAAGGCCACCGTCGAGAAGTGATAGCTGCCCAAGATATGCCGCAGTGCGCAGTTGTATAGGATGAAGGTGTAGGCATTGGTCACCAGGAAAGCTGTCGATTGGATGATGCCCAGAAGAGTCCTGCGCAAATCCTCACGACTAGGAATGCGGTGGCGCATCAGCAGGGACAGGGCGTACACCACTGTGTAGACCCGCAGGCAGTACGGCGTGGCCGAAAGCAAGATCCCGGCGGTGGCGTTGACGCAGTGGTCCGTCCATGGGTGCTGGAACTCCTTGCAGGTTATGCACAGGGGATTGATCAGCTTGCTCTGCCCCGTCATTGTGGAATGTCGATCTGTGCACAAAGAAAAAAACGAATTTTAATACAAATATTAAAGGAAGTAAATGCATCATTAGAAAGTTTGTCAGATATAAGGTATAATAAGTTCTTTATGGCACCAAACATTTTAGAACTCTACATTTTGTCTCATTATATGCATACTTCAACCTATGGACCGGACTTCGAAAGGTTTTAAAAGGTTTAAAAACCTGTTAGACGGATTAATGTCTTTCACAACATCACTACACATTTATAAAGTAAATTTTACTAGGGGAGAGGTCTATAGGTGGGACTTTTTGTTATACCAGTACATATATATATACCAGAAATGATAATTCACTCTTTGTTGATAAGAAGTAGATACACTAAAAGATACGGACATTTCATTTCTTACTTTGCTGTATAGGAAAATTATGGATTTTTGGAGAAATTAATGGAATTTAGCTCCATTTAATAAAAATCGAATTAAGTTTGACTGAGTTGAATCAACTTAATGGGTAGTCATTGCATATGGGGTGGTCGAGTCCGAGTCCGTTTTTTAACCTTTAATCGTATCTTCGAGCTACCTGGGAACAAGCTTTTATTGTTCTTCTGCGACGCTATCGGCTGTTCCACTGAACTTGGGTTACCCAAATTTAACTTTGATTTTTTTTTTTTATTCCCCGGGGAGGACTGCAACTTCTGCTGGCCAGGCCAGTACTAAATTGATTCTAAAGGCAAAACCTGGAACGTTGGATTATATTGGTGGATTACAGCTGTTCGACGAATGTCTGTGGCAATTTACTGCTGTCCATCGATAAGATACATTGCAGATTAGCAATGGCGAGGAATTTGGCAATACCAAGAACAAAGGCTATAAATAAACGGTAGGATTGTCAACTTTTGTTGATAAGGAAATATGGAATACGCTAGTTTTTTAAAGATATGAAATCCTGTCATCATTTGAATCTAATGAAAACTGAAAAGATCATATCTTTGAGTAATCAAATTTAAAAGTAATCCACCTCCATTTTTTTATATTTGGAGATAAAATTGCTTAAAAATCAAATGTTACCCTATTACTAAGACATTTAGTAAATAGTATACCTTTTTTCTCACCCAGTTAGCCGGGGAACTTCTCGATGGTGCTTATGATGAAGATTAACCTTAACCTAAGCCACTTTAGATTACAATCAGCCACTTTTTTTCTGGGCCCTTAAAGTCGAAATACCTAGCACGGAGAATACATACGAGTGTAGAGTTACCCCATTATCTCGCAACGCTAGCAACCGATTTGCATGGAAAACATGGATTAAGCTCAGTCCACTGACCGCGGGGTCAGCTTAGAGATCTTTGCGCAATCTTACTAAGAGCTACGAGTCATGGCTGGTATACTGGTACTGGGGAATAAAACCCAGCTAATCTGCATTATATTATCGAACTGTAGAGAGGTACTTACGCTTCAGCTACTAGGCACTCGAAGGCGGCAATAAACTAAACCGATTTGTTTGCGACTTGATTTGAGATATGGTCTAGTGCTGGTTGTTAAATATGATATTTAATATTTGTTTCGATTGAGATTGATAGAGTTGCGACGATTCCAGGTTCCGAAATGAGAATATGATAATATATAATGACAGCTGAGTGACGACGAACTGGAGACCCCTGTTGAGATATGAGTGTACCGCCCTGATTGCTCCGATTCCCCGGGACATCAGATGCGAAATCGTTCGAGAGTATATGGATAATTAATGGTGTTATATGGGGCGGGCAGAGTCCAAAAACAACAAGTGGTTGGGCGGGGTGGAAAACACTTTCTGAGTCCGCTGCCACTGAGCAGCGAATGCTGCGCGGTTTAGCAGGCCTTCGACTGCATTTCCCCAGTCGCCGCGCGACTTTTATCACTGTTTTATCTGCTTTATTTTGACGGGAATTGCGTTTTGTAAACAATAATAAACGAGCTGAAGAAATATACTATTTGCACCTTACTCAAATATACCGAAAATATACCAAACGGTCACTCTGAAAAGTCAGTCGGCAACATATGGAACCGAGTGCTGCAGCATTCAGCTTTTGTCAGTCGCTTGAAGGCGGGTTTTTCAAATGCGATAAACATAAGACATTTATAATATTATTTCACCTAAAATGCCATTAAAAATTACCTATAACTATTTTTAAAGTAGGAAAAAAGTAATAAATATAATTAATAACTTCCATCTTAAAGTAAAAAAGTAATTGTAGACCATAGAAGGCTCAAATATTTGTTGCTAATTAGTTAATAATAATATCCAAGTATGATAGGCTTTACGCAACATGTTTACTTTTAAACTTGTACTTCGTCTACGCTAAAATATATACATAAATGTGTTTATTAATAACTATACTGGTATACTCGTATGCTGAGCTTCACGAGTAGAACTAACGAGTTTTCTGGAGTGGAAACGCATACTTTGGTTACTAATTGCCAGTGCTCTTACTCGTTCCCCAATAAAACAACATTTTCTGGCTAGAGTGGAATTAAATTGGCTGAAAATTATCCTGCTAAGCTGTAGATTCCACCTTGGTTGCTTTTCTCCATCGAATGCGGCCTGCAGCCCACGCGTGCCTCAAATTTTCATTTGCGAATCCTGTGGCGACCTCTGAGGCCACAATTCGTGCCACAATCAACTCGGAACCCTGACTACCAAAGCACTTGGCCTGCCAAATTGTTTGCCATTCCAGCGTTCGAGGAGCCAGTAGACTCTGCCAAAGACTCGGTGCCTGCGCAATCAATTGGATTTCGGTTGTAGTTCATAAAGTGTATCTGTGCATGTCTCTGGCTGAGCTCTTCTTCCACATCCCCTTCCGTTTTCGGAGTCCTTTTGCTCCTGCTACTTTTCATTTACGCATGCACTGAGAGAATAAGTACCCTAAAATGGGTTTAAACTTTTTGGAATTATTTTTATACAATTCTTATAGATTTTCTTGTCAACTTTGTGAATAAAATATATCTAATGCATGAACAAGAAACTCGCCTTAAATTAATAAGTATTTATTGTTAGACTTAATTTAGAAAAATAAATGTTTAAAAAAAAGTCCTCTTAAAAAATAAAATTTTTAAAAGCTTAGTCCAATTACAGGATTTTTTGTCATTATTTAAAAGCCAACATCCAAAGAAAATACATTTTTAATGAACTAAAATTGGAATTCAATAGCGAAACTTTTGGTATTTTTAGAAAAAGATTTGATTAGTACTTCAATAACATTTTTTCGGGAGTAGATACTTGCTGTTAACTCTAAGTGTCTTAAGTCCAGGGCGAATATGTTTTCGAATGTAATATGTATGTTAAAAAGCCAAAAAAGGTATCTTGCAAATCCATAATTTTGTACTATTTCATTCAAATCTTGTGAAGTTTTTCACCCAGTGTAGGGAAGCTCTTTCGGTGCGGTTGTCACGGCACAGCGGATATACAAAATATTTCGTTATTGTTTGTGGCTGCTCCCACTGCCGTTGGTTTTGGCCTGGCTGAAGCCATTTACCTGTGGCATGGCTTATTTTGAAAAGCCAAAGCGCTTAAGTAGTTCACTCGAAACCAGGCCTAAAGCAGATGGGGTGCGTCCTGTTCCAGATCCTTTCCGCCTTTGTGGTCGGGTCGTCACTTCTGCTGTTTCCCGCTCAAATGCTTAGCGAAATTGCGGCTGCTTTGTGTGATTCGCCTGTTTTTCCCTGGGCTTAAGCATGGTGTTGTTTTCCCCATGTATATCAAATATACTTGACTCTGTCAGGACCTGGCACTCACTTAATTTACTCAAGGTGTTTTGGGTGTCCCTATCCCTGCCCCCCATCCCTGAATATCCCCTAAAATAAATCTTGCTACTGACGTGTCGCTAAGTAAGCACTTGAAAGGCCAAGTCCCCATTGTTGCTGCTAATCTAGAGTTGCCCCGCTTTCTTTGGGGTTCAATTGGCAATTAGCCCAGGTGCAAAGCAATCGGGGTTGCAGGTTGCAGGTCGAGTGCAGGATAATTGTGGAAATAGCCGGCGGGGATAAGGGCAGGCACACTGTCCACAAGGACCTTGTGAGCTGTCAATCCGGCAGCCACTTAGGAATCAATTTGTCCAGCGAGACGTGCGTTTAATATGCAGCGAGCAGCTTCAAGGAACGGATTTCCCGGCTCCATTGAGTTGCCTGACCACACCGGACGGCTCCATCCCCAAAACACACCATCTCTCAGGCATTTATAGACTTGTCTTGGGCTCATTTATCCTGGTACACAGCAACCAACCAGAAACCCGAAACACGATATACCGAAAACCGAGAACCGAAAACCCCCCGAGCACTGCTTAATGCGGAGGTTCTGGACTCCAGGATTCCCCGCCTGCATGTGGCCATTTGTTTAGGCCCTCCGTGTGTGTGGTTGCGTCCAAATGTGTTCAATTAAGCGATAATAAATTGTTCATTTGCTCATCGGTGCGCACGGCCATTACAGAAACAGCAGAATATCCAGGGGTTAGGGGTTGCGGGTTCAGGGGGAAAAGGATCTATGGCTGAAGGAGACATTGTCGTCACTGTAATATTTCATGGGGACCAGCAGCGCACGTTGATGCATATCCTGCCATTAGCAAGCCTTTTGCATAATACACAATTAATTTTGCACAAAGTTCTTATTTTATTAATTGCTTCCATTCGTTTATTCCCCATTCCAGATCACCCTCACCGATCACAAGTTGGTTAACCGAAGCCTAGTGTTTTGGCCTGGTCATCAATAGCTGTGGGTAGACTTTCTGACCAACGAACTAACGCCTCACCCCCATTTTCTCCGTTTTCCACTTTGACAACCCAAAAAGTGTGGCCAAGACCGCATTGACTTCAACTCAAAATATAGATTTTGTGGCTTTTGCTAACGAACGAGTGCCAAAACAGACGTTTCTTCCCCCACCCCTCAAAAAACCCCAATTCCAAGCCACGACCTCTTTTGTTTTCTTGGGGCAAAGTCACACATGTTCGCAAAGGAGTAAATGTGTCAAATGTCACACAGCCCAGAAAACCGAGAGACAATTGCCGCAATGCCAGTCAGAAGATACTTGTCGGTCGGAAGTTGTTGGCAAATGTTACATTAACAACGGATTACGGTCGCCTTTTACTTTTTACTCACTCCCTCGAAACTGCCTTTGAAAATATTACTCTAAGATTCTTAGTCCTTAAGAATACTTTGAAAATATTAGGAACCAAACGAAGATGTTAAGTAACCATGCAATAAGAAAACGATTCGGTTATTAGGTTGTTTAAAAAAAAAGTTTGTATACAACTGATGAAAGTGTTGGTTGTTTCTAATACAATTACTACGGAATTACAAATATTATGAGATATTTTTTTTCTATAAGGTTTTTTAAAAATAATAAAAATAATCAACATTTTTGTGGTTCAAAACTCGAAAACGTCGCTTTAATTATGATCATTTTTTCAAGCAGAGCCAAAAGGAAGTCCCATTTTTTGAGACTCAGCATCCAGTAATTGGGAGTAAGTATCCCAGTGGTGTCCCCATTCAAATATGGTTACCTGGGAAAAACAACAGTAACGTCAACAGGACCAAAATCAATTCCCGTCGTCCCACCCAAGGTGCAACATCCCCGGAGCAAAGTCAAACGAAATTAGTTTGCTGCTCATAAAACTTTTCCACGAACTTTGTGCTGCCCACATCCATCCACATGGCCACATCCACATCCACATCCACTGCCATCCTGAGAGTCCAGATAAACTTTGGGGGTATGTGTGCATATAATAACTTTGGCTTGCCGCCGGTGGGTGGTTATTGTGGGAATGGGAATATTTTTGGAGGAACAGCCACCGGAAATCTTGTTACCCTACATGGCTCCTCTCACCTGAGATCCGAGACTTGAGACATGAAAAGTTTTTTGCGCCTGGCTGGCCAGTGGGTCCCAGAGCTTTAATTGTATTTCAAGTTGCAGGTTGTACTTGTCCGACCCGCCCATCCACCCACACTTTTTCCGCCCCTTCTTCAATTTCCATGCGTGATAAATGGCAAAAATGGAAAATTCGTTCGTTTGCTTTTGACCCGCTCGGTTCGCTTTTGCCTCCGCGATTCGCTGTCCGCGCGGGAAGCTACATTTCGGGGCTTTTGTCTTTCAATTTGGCCCAAAAATCTCTTTTGGCCCTGCCGACCATGTCCTTCCTTTTTTTCTTCACTCGCAATCGCTGTGTTTGCATTTGCGTGGCATAGTTTTGTAGGGCAACGCACATAGCTGGATTTAGTATCTAATCGGCTAGTCTTCGGCATACAGTGGGGTTCTATTTCCATAGACTTGGATTTCTATACCTTTGAGTATCCCTAAATTAAACATTAAAACTCTTTAAAATGTACGAGATTCGACAGTGGCCAATAAATATAAGAAATTACATTTCATTTTGGTTCAAAAAATCCACAAATAACATTTAATATATGAGTGATATTAAAGAGTGCTAACATTGGTTCTTATGCAATATTTACCAACCCTACGAAACTGCGACATTTTTTTATTGTAGCCCTGAAAACTTTGTCATCTTTATTAAACCAATTCTGGGTAGATCCTATGTTTCATATCCAGAATTTTACTTAAATAATCCTGACAAGAATTTCCAGTCTTTAATTTATTTGCAATACAAACAATATCCACTGTATCGATAGGTATTGGATAAAACTGTCTGTCCTGACAGATATCACTGTGGATGTTTCACTCCGACCGCGCTGTATAATTGGGCTAACGTGTTCTGCGGGCGTAATTCATTGTGTTTATATGCTCTCACCCTGGCTAAGCTGGGATTGTTGAAAACTGAAAAGATTTAATTTATTTCGAGTGCGAGCGAAAAGACTCCACTTCCCATTGGAATTGGACTTGGGTTTGATGCGCTGGTTCCGATTCGCTTTCGAATTGCATTTATTCAAACGTTTCAATTGCTTTCCGTCGGATTCAATCTTCGAGTGATTTATTGTGTTGC